TGTTGGGGCGGGAGGACAAAGTCTGGCTCTCTCATCCAGGCTAGAGTGCAGTGGTACAGTCTTGGCTCACTGCAACCTCTGCCTCCCAGGCTCAAGCCATCCTCCTACCTCAGCCTCCTGAGTAGCTGGAATTACATGTGTGTGCCACTACGCCTGGCTAATTTTTGTATTTTTGGTAGAGATGGGGTTTCACTACGTTGCCCAAACTGGTCTTGAACTCATGAGCTCAAGCCATCTACTCGTCTTGGCCTCCCAAAGTATCGGGATTACAGGCATGAGCCACCGTGCCTGGCCTAAGCCATCTTAATCTGAGGACCAGGCTTTACTCTGCTTCCTGTCCATGGCCACTTCCAGACCCTGGACCTTTCCAGATGTTCAAGAGCCAAGATCCTTTCTCTCTGGATTTCTTACGTCCCCACAGTTCATTTGTTTGTTCATTCATTCATTCGATCAACAAATATTGATTGAACAAGTGCTGAGTAACCTTCCTTGGCATCAGGGAGACAGCTGAGAATAAACAAACCATTCCTGTTCCCTTGAGGCTGACTTTCGGGTCAGGGAGACCAATAAATATGTAAAATATGTAGTTATTTTGGATGATGAAAAGTGCCACACAACAGCTGTTGGTATGACTTAGCAGAAAAAACAAGTAGAGAAGGGGATATAAAGTGCTAGACGCTACGGGAAGGTTGAATTTTAGGTAGAAGGCCAGGGACAGCCTCACTGCGAAGGGAATGTTTCAGCAAAGATCGGAAGGGAGGAGGGAAGGAGCCGCTGGCGTGGAGGGAAAGGACTTCCCAGGCAGAGAGGTTGGTGGGTACCAAGCTTTGGGTTGGGACATGCCAGGAGTGAGAGTAGCAGCAAGGAGCCAGGGTGGCTGGAGCCCAGTGAGAGGGGATGGATCCTGCAGAGCCTTGAAGGTCACAGTGAGGATGTTGGCTTTTCTCAGGTGAAATCGGAGCCTTGGAGGACTCTGAGCAGAGAGTGATGAGGCCTGACCTAGGTTGTCCCAGGATCCCTCTGGCTGCTGTGTAGAATTAGTCGGCCGGATGTGTCGGCTCACGCCTGTAACCCCAGCACTTTGGGAGGCTGAGGTGGGCGGATCACGAGGTCAAGAGATCAAGACCATCCTGGCCAACATGGTGAAACCCCATCTCTACTAAAAATACAAAAATTAGCTGGGCATGGTGGTGTGCCTGGAAGCTGAGACAGGAGA